CCCCCCCCTCCCTCACTCTCACCCACCCACCCCCCCCCCTCACTCACTCACTCACTCACACACACCCCTCACTCACTCACTCACCCACTCACTCACACCCCTCTCACTCACCCACTCACTCACACCCCTCACACACACCCACTCACTCACACCACTCACTCACTCACACTCACACTCACTCACTCACACACACTCCCACACACTCACACTCACACTCACACAAACACTCACACTCTCACACACACACACTATAAAAACATGATAACTAAAATCTCTCTGGCACATTTTCAAATGCACTCCAGTACTGTATGAAGTGTATTACAGAAATACTGTTTAGTGTGTAAAAAAAAAATGCAATGAATAGATAGTAATTGTTGCACCTAGTTCAGATAACATATATTCATAACTTTATAACTTTTGGGCATCATGCAATATTGCTGTGGTTAAAAAAGTAGCCATTGACTGTCAGCAGTGAATGCAGCGTTTGGATTATAGTTCCTTCACGTTGGACTCGGCTGAGATCATAGTGCTGCACTCACTCATCTGGTTCACTCTTGAATCTGATCATGGGTTATTATATTCCGTTTCCTGAATTGTATTGTTGAGTGACACTGGAACGAGTGTAATAAACCGTTTAGTGACCGAGTGGTCTGTGTGTCTTTGAAACAATCGCTTGATCACAGTAATCGCACAAATACACTGCACCTTTATACAATTATAATGCTAATAACAAGAGATTAATAATGAGCTCTCACTAATATGGTGCACAATAGGACTAAAACTATTATTTCCTCTCATGAATGGTTTGGAGAAAGTTGCTTCAACTTCATAAAAAATGTTCAAATATGTGTTTGTTTGTAATAGAAACATTAATACTCTGATGAAAAAATGTCTTCAGATAAGAGCAAAGCATTGAATTTAAGAATGCAGTCGACTCTACAATGTGTGTGGAATTGTGAAAATGAATTAGTCATGAACGGATATTTAAAAGCACTAATTTGGTGATTGTTTTTTTATGAAACCTTGTTTAAGAGTTCTGACTACACGGTTTCAAAAGAAATAATTATCTAAAATCTTGAGGTGCTTTATAACAGTTTTTATCAACATGAAATTGAAGACCAGTTGATAGTGCTGCACTCACTCATCTGGTTCACTCTTGAATCTGATCATGGGTTATTATATTCCGTTTCCTGAATTGTATTGTTGAGTGACACTGGAACGAGTGTAATAAACCGTTTAGTGACCGAGTGGTCTGTGTGTCTTTGAAACAATCGCTTGATCACAGTAATCGCACAAATACACTGCACCTTTATACAATTATAATGCTAATAACAAGAGATTAATAATGAGCTCTCACTAATATGGTGCACAATAGGACTAAAACTATTATTTCCTCTCATGAATGGTTTGGAGAAAGATGTTCAACTTCATAAAAAATTTTCAAATATGTGTTTGTTTGTAATAGAAACATTAATACTCTGATGAAAAAATGTCTTCAAATAAGAGCAAAGCATTGAATTTAAGAATGCAGTCGACTCTACAATGGGTGTGGAATTGTGAAAATGAATTAGTCATGAACGGATATTTAAAAGCACTAATTTGGTGATTGTTTTTTTATGAAACCTTGTTTAAGAGTTCTGACTACACTGTTTCAAAAGAAATAATTATCTAAAATCTTGAGGTGCTTTATAACAGTTTTTATCAACATGAAATTGAAGACCAGTTGAAAAAATACATAATTTAAAATAAAAAGTGCTATTATTTATGTCAGTCAGATATAAACCACTGACTCCCACAATTAAGAATAAGCGCTCATCTCATTTAAATCAGACGATGTCTGTGATAAACCGAAAACACTGAAATAAAAACCATCTTCGCGCCAATTATTCAAATTGAAGTATTGAATTAGTCATTTATGTTTGAAATAAACATGACTGAATTTCACTCATTTTATTTTCGATTTAATTTGTGTGTGATTTTTTTTATTTACTGAAGAGAAATTGTTTTAGCGGCTATGTCCAAATCAAGACGTTTAGTTATTTTGTTCGTCAAGAAGACCACTGATGGCCAAATCACACATTTCATGCATTACAGTTTTTCACATTTGCACAGACACTAAACCCCATTCTCTGACCCGAAGTCTCGCTGGCCTAAACCAATGTGTGTAATAAACCACTCTTTCTGCAAAACCTTAAACACGTTCTGGCAGTTCAGACACTGTTTGCAGATCTCATGCACTCTTTGAAAAACTCTAAACACATTCTCGCTCACTAAAACACAATTTGCACTGTGATAAACTTGTGATGCAAAACCCTAATCACAAGAAAGCCAAGGTTACGCACAACTGCAACACGGCTGTCATCATTTACACACAATACTTCAAAACTGTTCACACTTGCTTCTAAAAATGTGAATGTATATACGTAGTTTTTTTTTTTGAGTAACAACTTTTTTTGGCATATTCACCAAACTTAGGTGTGATTTCTTTTGTGTGCGTGTGTGTTTTATTGCAAAATATTTACTATATACAATAAAAAAATTTTTGTAACTATGCAACTGTGTTCATCATTTTTCTCTGAAGTGTCTAATGAATGATCTGTAGTGTGTGTGTGATTTGAAAGCTGTGTTTGATTTTGAGTACAGGTGAAATGGTTTTGAAGCGATTGGTTTTGCCAGAAGAGTCAGGGCTTCTGTGAATTTAGTTTGAAGGTCTGGATTTGTGTTTAAGGTTTGGAGAAAATGAGTGATGGTTTCAAGAAATGCGCTTTAGCAATTCAGAAAAACTACTTTTTATGCAATGTTCATTTGAATTAGTTTCTCTACCATGCAAAGTAATGAAACCTTTATCTGTACCATATTCAGCATGTGCTGTTCGCAATTGATTTTTAACATCTTTAATAAAGTTACACTGGCACTGATCTGTTGTGTAAAAAAAAAAGGCTGTCAGGTCGTGTCATATTTAACCCACAACACCCAAATTATACATTTAAATTGTTCTGGTTCTGAATGAGCCATGTGTACAGCCAAAACACACACACACCTGTGGCTGAACTACTTATGATATTCATATCAGCTACATCACTAGACACGAGAGTTGAAATGAAACCATTGTAATTGTATTCAGGTAGCTTCACACGAGCAAGAGTACTAAATATCAGCACGCATTCAGACCAACAACAGATTTTTCTTAAAGAAACAAAGCAATTTTAAGGATTATGGGCTCTATGGCATTTGAGTTAAAAACGTGTTAATGCTGGATGTGTTTCAGCTTTTGTCTTCTCCAGATGGTAACTGATGGACTGGAGTGCTGTGGATTACTTGTGGATTATTGTGATGTTTTTATCAGCTCTCATCCTGACGGCACCCATTCACTGCAGAGCATCCATTGCTGAGACACTGATGCAGTGCTACATTTCTCCAAACCTGATGAAGAAACTAACTCATAATCTTATATGGACGGAGTACATTTTCAGCAAGTTTTAATTTCTGTGTGAACTAGTCCTTAATCATTGAATACTTGCATAACATTATTGCTGCTGCTGGTTCTTAAACACAATAAACTACTCACAAATCTTCCGTGGTGTATTTAACTTAAATTTTATTAAAATACAATGAATAAACAATCTGTCAAGTTCACAAGTTAATTCTCCATGACAAGCACTAAAAGTCGAAAGAAATACGAATCCCTAACACGTCTCGTAATAAAGTTAATACCCACTCTTCTTTCTTTGATTTTCGTAACATACACAAAGTCAAAGAGACGTCTAGACTCGAGATCATAAAGTGCTCCCTATAGCTTGTGCTAAGGAGGCGTTTAGATGGCGTCTGATATAAAAACACAACCGGCTCCATGTCGAGCCTCTCGTTTCAGACACACATGATTGCATGGTTGATGAGAAACCCCTCAGAGTGATCGTACGGAGTAATGATACAGCCAGACACAATCAATCAAAGTGTGAGCCGCGTGAAGAAAGTGCTATTAGCTGCTCCCCTCCAAACAGGTCCTGGGGCACCGAACGCCAGCAGAGCAGAAGAGAGAGCAGCTTCAGTGAAGTCAGCCAGCTCAAGCACCGGCCGACTGAAGGTAACACACAGAATATACTAAACAAAGCACAGAAATCAACTCCTGGACGTTCACAGCTCTAACATGAGCCTCGTGGCCAGTGCATCCTCTTCACTTGAAGGCGGATGAAAGCGCCAGAGTGCAGACGTTAATGTCCTCGGTGTGCGAGGCCCTGTGCAGCGACGGCTCGGACGCGCTGCGGTTTATTTTGGGGAGCGAGTGCTGGAGCAGCTCAATCGAGGACAGGATCTAGAAAAGACACCAACATAAATCATGCCAATGCAGTAAAACATTGTCATTATACAGCCCTGCATGAAAATGGTTTCGACTTGCCAGTCACGCGAGTTAACGGTTATTATAAAGCGGAGCGTTCCGGTGCTTGACTCTGATTGGCTGAGCCGCGTTCGAAGCTGTTGTAGAGTCGACGCTACAAAGTAACACACAGCTTTGTTTACTTCTGTGTGTTACTCTGCAACCACTTTGTAGCAACCACAACTGTTTCTGAGGAGCTACATTGTTTGGTGGAAGAATACTGTGTTTATTAATATCATTACACTTTATTTGCTCCGTTTTATTTTGTGAAACCTTACTACGTATATGGATTAACCGTGTTATAAAAGCAATAAGCCCCGTGAAGCCGTGCTTTACAGTGAATTTATAATAGTTTCTCTACCATGCAAAGTAATGAAACCTTTATCTGTACCATATTCAGCATGTGCTGTTCGCAATTGATTTTTAACATCTTTAATAAAGTTACACTGGCACTGATCTGTTGTGTAAAAAAAAAAGGCTGTCAGGTCGTGTCATATTTAACCCACAACACCCAAATTATACATTTAAATTGTTCTGGTTCTGAATGAGCCATGTGTACAGCCAAAACACACACACACCTGTGGCTGAACTACTTATGATATTCATATCAGCTACATCACTAGACACGAGAGTTGAAATGAAACCATTGTAATTGTATTCAGGTAGCTTCACACGAGCAAGAGTACTAAATATCAGCACGCATTCAGACCAACAACAGATTTTTCTTAAAGAAACAAAGCAATTTTAAGGATTATGGGCTCTATGGCATTTGAGTTAAAAACGTGTTAATGCTGGATGTGTTTCAGCTTTTGTCTTCTCCAGATGGTAACTGATGGACTGGAGTGCTGTGGATTACTTGTGGATTATTGTGATGTTTTTATCAGCTCTCATCCTGACGGCACCCATTCACTGCAGAGCATCCATTGCTGAGACACTGATGCAGTGCTACATTTCTCCAAACCTGATGAAGAAACTAACTCATAATCTTATATGGACGGAGTACATTTTCAGCAAGTTTTAATTTCTGTGTGAACTAGTCCTTAATCATTGAATACTTGCATAACATTATTGCTGCTGCTGGTTCTTAAACACAATAAACTACTCACAAATCTTCCGTGGTGTATTTAACTTAAATTTTATTAAAATACAATGAATAAACAATCTGTCAAGTTCACAAGTTAATTCTCCATGACAAGCACTAAAAGTCGAAAGAAATACGAATCCCTAACACGTCTCGTAATAAAGTTAATACCCACTCTTCTTTCTTTGATTTTCGTAACATACACAAAGTCAAAGAGACGTCTAGACTCGAGATCATAAAGTGCTCCCTATAGCTTGTGCTAAGGAGGCGTTTAGATGGCGTCTGATATAAAAACACAACCGGCTCCATGTCGAGCCTCTCGTTTCAGACACACATGATTGCATGGTTGATGAGAAACCCCTCAGAGTGATCGTACGGAGTAATGATACAGCCAGACACAATCAATCAAAGTGTGAGCCGCGTGAAGAAAGTGCTATTAGCTGCTCCCCTCCAAACAGGTCCTGGGGCACCGAACGCCAGCAGAGCAGAAGAGAGAGCAGCTTCAGTGAAGTCAGCCAGCTCAAGCACCGGCCGACTGAAGGTAACACACAGAATATACTAAACAAAGCACAGAAATCAACTCCTGGACGTTCACAGCTCTAACATGAGCCTCGTGGCCAGTGCATCCTCTTCACTTGAAGGCGGATGAAAGCGCCAGAGTGCAGACGTTAATGTCCTCGGTGTGCGAGGCCCTGTGCAGCGACGGCTCGGACGCGCTGCGGTTTATTTTGGGGAGCGAGTGCTGGAGCAGCTCAATCGAGGACAGGATCTAGAAAAGACACCAACATAAATCATGCCAATGCAGTAAAACATTGTCATTATACAGCCCTGCATGAAAATGGTTTCGACTTGCCAGTCACGCGAGTTAACGGTTATTATAAAGCGGAGCGTTCCGGTGCTTGACTCTGATTGGCTGAGCCGCGTTCGAAGCTGTTGTAGAGTCGACGCTACAAAGTAACACACAGCTTTGTTTACTTCTGTGTGTTACTCTGCAACCACTTTGTAGCAACCACAACTGTTTCTGAGGAGCTACATTGTTTGGTGGAAGAATACTGTGTTTATTAATATCATTACACTTTATTTGCTCCGTTTTATTTTGTGAAACCTTACTACGTATATGGATTAACCGTGTTATAAAAGCAATAAGCCCCGTGAAGCCGTGCTTTACAGTGAATTTATAACAGCTAAGAGGGTTTTAGACACATCATAAGTGGCCACATTATTTGAGGTACACTGAAAACAATAAAAAAGGTGCTGGATTTACAACTTTCACTTAGAAATTGCTAGTAAATTTCACAAACAATTACAAAGAAACGGCAAGTAACGCATTGAATTACACACAGAAGAAACTGAAAGACTGAAATTGTAAAGCATACTCCAATAATCTTACAAAAAAATCATTTTTACAGTGCTCAATTTTGGGTCAAACGCACAGCAACAAGCTGGCGAATCCCCCAAAACGAGAACACTACCACGCCATAATTACTCAAAAACTGAAAATAATATTAATAACTATTTTAGGACATCAAGGTCTTTGCATTACGACATTTTTTTGTATTATGACACTATTTACAGTTAAGACACTGAATTGTAAAATAATATATTATTTACATTTAAGATTTTATGACACTGATACAGATTAATTCATTCTGATAACTGGCATGCAGAACAATATTTTAATTATTTCTGCTTTTTGACACATTATTAATAACTAACTGAGCATTAGACTACAACAATAAACACAAAATGCATTATTATTAACAAAATATTCACAGTTATTATTACCATAGGCTGTTGCAAATGTATTTTTCATCTGTTTTGGGCAAATACTACACATTTCACACTTGGGAATAAGTGGCTGGGTTTTTTTCAGTTTAAAGTTGTAAAGAATAAATATTTATTGTTGTACATTTATAATAGTTTTTTAAGAACAAACACTATATTATGTAATATATATATATATATATATATATATATAGTTTAAAAATATTGTTCTAGAGCAAAGAGAATCATCAATCAGAATAATTTGTGGGAAACAATGTTCTTAATTGTCATGAAATAGGTGATAATGTAATGTTTTCCTCTGACAGTAATGACAGCGATTACACTGGACTTGTAAGCGACGTTACCTGCGGAAACAGCGGTCTGTCGTCTTTGGACTTCTGGATGCAGTCGGCGACGAGTCTCTTCATGGCTTTAGGACAGCTCTTGTAGAGTTTACTGAGGTCAGGGGTCAGATAGCCTCTCCCCACCATAAAGATGATCTGCATACAAAGCAACAGGGAACAACTAACTCTACTCGAAACGACAACGGGAACTAGATTTTTGCATGTTGTGCACAGCGCGATTGCTGCTCGTCTGTGCAAAAGACACTAGGATGATATTCTGGTCTCTAGATATAGATAAGTCTATTTATTTCCTGCACTGAATAGATTTCAAGTCTGATGTCTTAGAAAAGCAATAGCACACCTCTCCTACACAAATCAGCCGCAGCAAAGATTTCATGCTGGAACGCAATACTTAATGAGTGAGAATCCCTGATTTCGAACGAGGATTTGGGGGAAAACAATAATAACGGCCTTCGTTTCACCTCATCATTAAACAATAGGCTACACAAGCAGCGAGGGTGGTTTAAACGGACCTTTAGCCTTTGGGCTCCTAAATTTAGCAGCAGGGCCGGAGCGCTCCGGATCAC